GCCAGGAGAAATGTCTCTCTCAAACTGGAATATTTAAGTTACATACCACTACAACAACACAAATCTAGGCTGGAGCGCACCAGGCTTGCCGGTGCAACCATGCATTTTTACCCTAAACTTGAAGCAATCAGATCGTTAACTGTATGAATAGCTGCTGCGTGTATCTAGTTTGTGTATTAATTACCACAAAACATCGTGAATTTTGCTTAAAGAAAGACGAAAACTCTTCGTTGAACGGTCCTTCATTAGAGATAACCAGGCTGTTCAGTGAGCAATTTTCTCACCAAAACTTTGACGAGCCTGCGCGTAAGCATCACGTGTATCTGGGGGCTGAGCATGAAACCTTTAAGTTGTATGAGGAATGAGAACATCTCCTTAAAATTTCAACCTCCCAGCTTTTTTGGTTCCTGATATAGCGATTTTTACTTCAAAATTTCCATGTGTCTTAGCGCGAAACTCGACGTACTAGAAAGCTGAATTTCAAATCTTTTGGTCGCACCTGACTAAGGGACACTTCCTCAAAACTCAAGCCTTTTAGGTTTTCTGGTTCCGATTTAATAAATTTCACGCAAAATTTCCAAATGTCCCTATCTGAGATTAGGACGTGCTAGGGAGCTGAATTTGAAATCTCTTGGTCGTACATGAGTAGAGAACACTACCATAAGGTTTCAAATTTCTACCTTTTTTTTCCCCTGTCAACAATTTTCTGGCTAATATTCTCACGTGCCCGCACGTGAAAACCACCCATAACTAAGGACTAGATATGAAAGCTTTTGACCGTAGTTAAGTAGGGAACATCTTAAAATTTCAGCCTTCCAGCTCCTCTCGTTTCCAACTTAACAATTTCCTCGCCAAATTTTTCATGCATTTGCACAAGAGCCGCAGATGTGCGTAAAAGTTGATATCATGCCCCTGGGATAGTACTTCGCCCGAGAGTACACTGGCAAAATTTCAGCATCATAGACTAACTCACATATATATATATATACATATATATATATATGTATATATATATATATATGTACACACACACAGAGTCAACACAAATATGCACTCTGTTGCCTATTGTACCGCTGTACAGCAAAAACACATAATGAGATCCACACCGACTGCAAAAAAAACGCATCCAGATAAGCAGGGTGAACAGGACTTAACGATCGAAACGATGGAGTTCAAAAAAAAATAGAAAAGCAATTTGGCTAGCTGTTTTTACAACACCTCTGTGCAAATGTTGATAGATTCGAAAGTGGACGACTTCAACGATAAAATCTACTCTGCATATAATTAAAAAACAACTTCAACACTAACAATATATTATTCCCATTTCCGCAACCAGGAGCAATGAAAGTCAAGGGCGAGAGAAAATGGAAACTTATTTGCCTCGGGTGAAAACCA